CAGGGCCCCAAGGACCAGGGGACAGGGGACACTGACCCAAAGGACCTCGGGACAATGTCCCCACACAGGGACAGGGCCCCAAGGACCAGGGGACACTGCCCCAAGGACCCCAGGACACCCCCAAAGGACCTGGGGACAATGTCCCCACACAGGGACAGGGCCCCGAGTGGGGACAGTGCTACAACACTGCAGGGACCCCATCCCAGAGGCCAAGGAGGTGGCACCTGGGAGAGGGGATGGGACCATGACAAGGGGACGTCACCCAGACACGGGGATGGCACCCTGCGAGAGGGTGTCACTCAGATGTGTCACCTAAATATAGGGATGGCACTCCATGAGGGGATGTCACCTAGATACGGGGATGTCACCTAGATACGGGGATGTCACCCAGACACGGGGATGTCACCTAAACGTGAAGATGGCACCCAGACAAGGGGATGTCACCCCAACAAGGGGATGTCACCCCATGAGGGGATGTCATCCCAACAAGGGAATGTTACCCAGACAAGGGGATAGCACCTAAACATGGGGATGTCATCCTTACAAGGGATGGCACCCCATGAGGGGATGTCACCCCAACAAAGGGATGGCACCCTCACAAAGGATGTCACCCAGACTTGGGGATGTCACTCAGACTTGGGGATGTTACCCTCACAAAGGGATGTCACCCAGACAAGGGGATTGCACCTAAACATGGGGATGTCACCCCCACAAGGGGATGGCACCCCACGAGGAGATGTCACCCCATGAGGAGATGGCACCCAGACATGGGGATGTCACCTAAACGTGAAGATGGCACCTAGACAAGGGGATGTCACCCCATGAGGAGATGGCACCCAGACAAGGGGGTGTCACCTCGAGGAGGAGATGTCACCCCACCAAGGGGATGTCACCCCGAGGGGAGATGTCCCCCCGGCAGGGCGGTGTCCCTGTCCCCCTGACCCCTCTCCCGTTGCAGATCAAATGCTTCCTGGATTTCAAGGCGGGGGGAGCCCTGTGCCACATCCTGGCAGCCGCCTATAAATTCAAGAGCGACCAAGGATGGTGAGCACCCATGGGGGTGGGGGTCCTGGGTGGGGTCAGGGGTGGGGGTCCCCTCCAGGGGTGGCCTTGGCTGGCGGTTCCCAGGGTGGGGCGGTTGCGGGGCCGTCACCTGCAGAGCAAACAGGCGCTGGGACGTGTCCCCCTGTGTCACTGCGGACCCTGATGGGGTCCAGGCACGTGTCCCACTCCCCCGCTCCCCAAATTTCGGGTGCTGACGAGGAGACCTGAGCTGTGGCTTTCATGAGAGTCGCTCTTTTCTTCCAATAAGGCGGCGTTTCGATTTCCAGAATCCCTCGCGCATGGACCGCAACGTGGAGATGTTCATGACCATCGAGAAATCCCTGGTGCAGGTAAGAGCCCACGGCCCCCAGCCCCGGGACCCCCACCCCGTGTCCCCCCCTCCTCACAGAGCTCACCCCTCTGCTCTCTCCCCTTCCTCCCCAGAACAACTGCCTGGCTCGGCCCAACATCTTCCTGCACCAGGAGATCGAGCCCAAACTGCTGGGGAAGCTCAAGGACATCGTCAAGAGGCACCAGGTGGGTGGCAGTGCCAGGGTGGGGGGCATGGAGGGGGGCTCACCAGGGGTCTCACCCCAATTTTTACCCCGGATTCATCCCCTGGCTGGCACAGGGCACCGTGACTGAGGACAAGAGCAACGCATCGCACATCGTCTGCCCCGTGCCCGGGAACCTGGAGGAGGGTGGGTGCTGGAGGGGGTTTGGGGGGTCAGGGGGATTTTGGGGGGCAGAGGAAGGTGGGTGCAGGTGGGGAATTCGGGGGGGTCATTGGGGCGCTCTGGGAGGGCAGAGGAAGGTGGGTGCAGGTGGGGAATTTGAGGGTCATGGGGGCAGAGGAAGGTGGGTGCTGGAGGGGGTTTGGGGGGTCAGGGAGATTTTGGGGGGCAGAGGAAGGTGGGTGCAGGAGTAGGGTGTGGGGGTTTGGGGGCCTCTGGAGAATCCAGAGAAAGGTGGATGCAGGAGGGGAATTTGAGGGTCACAGGGGGATCTGGGGGGGAAAAGAGGTGGGTGCAGGAGGGGAATTTAGGGGGTCATGGGGGGCAGAGGAAGGTGGGTGCAGGAGGGGAATTTGGGGGGTCACAGGGGGCTCTGGGGGTGCAGAGCAAGGTGGGTGCAAGAGTAGGGTGTGGGGGTTTGGGGGCTATGGAGAATCCAGAGGAAGGTGGGTGCAGGAGGGAAATTTGAGGGGCCACGGGGGGCTCTGGGAGGCAGGGGAAGGTGGGTGCACGAGGGGGTTTTTGGGGGTCACAGGGGG